ACCACTAGGTCAGTGGTTCAAGCTCACTGGTCGCTCCTTGGAAATCCTATACAGGGTCACTATAAGTCGGAACTCACTTGACAGCACCTAACAACAACAATGTGATTTCAGTCAGTTTCCTCCAGGATTGATGTGAAGTGCTTTGAACAGTATGTAGCACTCAGTAGTGATTTATATTATTTCAAGTAATTATAGCAATGCTGAAGACTATCTACAGCCTGGAAAAAGATGTTTTTTTTGAAGATGGACTTCCTGTACAACCTACACCAGATAACACCTGGTGAAGATCTACCCTGACCCTTTTGTGCACGACATTTTCTGTTAGTCACAATGGAAGGTATGCTTCTTCCCATTCCCGCACATCCTAAGCAGGGAAAGCAGAAGAGTTGGTGTTATTGAAAATCCCCAAATACTTCATCCCTAAACATTTTATCATACTAACAATAAACAACAAGAGCAGTAAGTATGGTGGTGGTGGTGGTTGTGTGTCACCAAGGTGGTTCTGACTCTTAGCAACCTCGTATAGGGTTTCCAAGGCTGTAAATCTTTACGGGAGTAGAAAGCCTCATCTTTCTTCCTTGAAGTGACTGATAGATTTGAACTGCTGACCTTGCTGTTAGCAGCCCGACTCATAGTCTACTAAGCTTCCAGGGCTCCTTTGAAGCATCTCACATACAGAACAATTCTTTATATGGTAATTTGCGTCTATTATCTCCTTTAAGGCTCATAATATCTATGAAAATTAAATATCATCATCCTAATTGGAAGAGGAGGCTTAACAGGAGGCTTTATCGTAGTTATCCAGTACATTTCCACTCATGGCAATCTCTAGTGTACAACTAGAACTGCTCCACAGGGTGTTCAAGGCTGCAACTTTTTGGAAGCATTGTCTTCTGATGGGCTCAGATTGCCAACCTGTTGGTTAGTAACTAAGGGCTTAACTGTATGCTACCCAGTGAATGTATTGATCTGTTGTTATTGTTGTTGTCATCGTTAAGTGCTGTGTAGTCAGTTCTGACTCATAGTGACCCTGTGTAAGGTTTCTGAGGAGTGGCTGCTGGGTTTGAACTACCAGTCTTGTAGCAGTAGCTCAGTAAGTAGTTGCTCATAATATGGTCTTTATATGAGTCCTTTGTTTGCTGTATGTATTAAAAACATCCTCTTTCTCTCTTTGGCTTTCCTTTCACTCTACTGATGGTTCCTTTTTATATTAAAACCATTTGCACCACCCAGGGATCTTACAAAGACTTTTTAAAAACTTGCTCAAAACCGTACAGCCGAAGAAGGATTGCCTGGCTTTAAAGCCAGACCTCTTGTTAGTTACATCATGATATTTCCTTCCAAAGGGTCAGACATTGACTCCTGACTGTTGGCTCCTGTTATGTCTAAAATTACTTTCTGCATATTTAGAAATATTCTAATTTCTTTTGCTCCACCAAATGGAATCCTTGATTCAAGAATGCTGTTCAGAATGCTCAATGAAAGGTATTGTGAAGTGGGTAGAAGACCTTGAGTTGTACATACTTGAAATATAAAGCATGAAAACTAATGAGGAAATAAATGTTTGAAGTTCCATTTGTTGATTTTACATTTGCTTCCAAAGTTAACTGTTTACAAAGAATGTGTCAGTGAACAATACAGAAAGATTTGTTGCTTTTCCCTTCATTTTAGAGGCAAGTAAATAATTGATGACAGTACACTTTGCAACTGAGTTGATAGTTCAAGAAACCATACGGAATGATTAAAATAAGTAGGATTGCAAAGATTCTATTCCTCACAACGAGAGATCTCATCCATCTATCTACCTTTACAATGAAACATACATCCAGTCATTCAACTCAAACAGTGAATATTCATATTCATTGCTGTCAAGTCAATTCTTGAGCGACCCTGTAGGACAGAGTAGACCTGTCCCATAGGGATTCCAAGACTATAATCCTTAAGGAACTCTGGTAACGTAGTTGTTATGAGCCGAACTGCTAACCTCAAGGTCAGCAGTTTGAAGCTACCAGCTATTCTACAGGAGAAAGATGATGCTTGCTGTTTTCTGCTCCTGTAAAAGATTTATAGCCTGAGAAACCCTATACAGGGCTGCTTCCATAGCACACAACCACCGCCACCACCAATAATCTTTACAGTAGATCACCAGATCTATTCTCCTTTGGAGAAGATGGTGGGTTAGAAGCTTGACCTTTCTGCTAGGAGGTGAGTGCCTAACAACTGTTACCAGAGCTCTCACTTAGTGAATGTTGTTGCTATTATTCAGTGATGTCGAGTTGGTTCCTACTCATAGCAACCCGGTATAGGGTTCTGACTCAACAAAACCTGTATAAGGTTTGAACCGCCAACCTTGCAGTTAGCAGTCCAGTGCCATACCAGGCCACCCATTATGTGCTATGCACTGCTCCTGGACTAGGTATCCAATAGTGCTTAAAGGACATAGGAGGGCTGAGGTCATAATAATCTAATAAATGAATAAAACAAAATCATTCCAATACTGATGTGTGCTGTGAATGAAATATAATAGGGGACATAGGGTTTCTGATGGAAAAGCTATATGAGGTAGGATGGTCTGGGAAGATCTCTGTACATAGTTGGTTTTTAAGTTGAAATATGAATGAAAGAGAGCCAGTCAGATATTTGCAAAGCAGAAGAAAGACCTTCCAGGCACATAAAGGTGTCAATAATTCACTGGTACCAAGAACAGAAGTCTGTGTGGTTGGATACAGAGGGATGGTATGTGATGAGGTTAGAAAGGTTAGTAGGCCAAAGTTAGGTACAGTATTGTACTATTTGAAAGAATCTAACAATCCAAGTATAATGGACGTACACTGACAGGGTCTAGATAGGAGGAGGCTAGCATGATTTGATTTCACTTTCAATGTACTAATCTGGGCATTTGATTGAGATTTTCTTGTAAAGGGGCAATAAGACAAGGGAAATCGTTATGGAGAGGTTGGAGCAGTTGAAATACAAGAAGTCTCTAAACACTTATAACAAATCTCACTAATGATAAGGAGACTTCGTTAGTGAAAGAAGGCCGGACTTATTTTAATAATGCCTCTGTTTACATACAACATGGTGGTGGTGGTTATGTGCCGTGGAGTGGAGTCGGTACCGACTCAAAGCGACTCTCTACAGGGTTTCCGAGGCTGTAAATCTTTACGGGAGCAGAAAGCCTCATCTTTCTCCAGTGGAACTGCTGGTAGTTTCTAACTGCTGACCTTAAAGGTCCCGATTCGTAACCACTATGCTACCAGAGCTCCTTACAACATATCTGCTAATAAAAGAAATAATTTTACTATTAATTAGTCAGAGCTGTAGATGGAGGCATGGCTGTAGATTTGCAGTTACATGTAACTTCATCCGATATTAAAAAGTATCTTGCCCTTGGTGCAAGGAGAAGCTTTTGGTTTCTTTGAAGGAGAAGAATAGTATCTAGGAAATTAATTCTTCCCTCTGGCCTAAATGCAAAATTGCAGAAACCATTGACTAAATATAGCCAGTCACTCCTAAGAGGGCAGAGTCCTCCCTCGGGCATTCTTTATTAGAGGCCATTTATCAAGTTCTATGGATATGGATTATTATGGATAGCTGAAGGGAAACCTGCGTCTCTGGCACTTACTGGCAATTTTCTGGGTTACGATACAAGCTAGTTTTGAAAGTGGTATCAGTAGTAGCCTGTTTGCAAACTTCCTTGTGGGAGGCTGTAATGGAGCTCTGGGAGGTGGTGGGCCTCTGCTACCAAAGTCTTCCTGCCCATAAATCAGCATCGTAAAACGTCCTGGAAGTGTTGTGATGGCGCTGAATGCATAAGAAGGGTTCACAAGCCGAATCTATTGTCGACGTTCCTGATAGCAGAGGAGGCTGACAAGACACACATGTCGCTGAGTAGTAGCGCGGTATAGTAAAGCAAGGTTTGCACCATGTGTGTCACAGATTTCTTGAAGGTTTTTCCAAGTTCCGCCTTCCCTTCAATGAACCCATCCTGGCCCCAGCTGTGCGTCCTTCAGTCCTTCCGCTGGGGACGACTCTCTCTCCAAACGGAGAACACAAGTTTTGCTTCCCAAAGTGATTATAACCCCCACTCTCTCCGCTCAGCCAGAGCCAAGTATCAGGCCTGTGGGAAGGACCGTCTGGGGGACAGAGGGAGGGAGGGCGTGGAGTGGCCACTTTCCTCTCTTCTCCTCACCCTTCACCACACTGCACGCAAATTCTGGGCAAAGGTCGCGGTTGAGCATCCTCCGTGCGCCCCACAGTGCAAATCTCCCCGTCCTTTCTCGAGCGGCTCGTCGCTCTCTCAGCCTCCACCAGACAGCGAACGCGCCCTGATGCAGAACCACTGCTTTGCAGGTTGGAGTTTGCCCTCGTGTGCGCCGCGTCACACGGTGGGGAAGGGAGGCGGTGGAAGTGGGAGGCAAGGGGAATAGCATTGTCCCGGAGCCCCGAGACGCCGCGGGGAACAGCCGCCTTAGAGCAGCAGCCAAGGCTTCGTTCGGTCCGAGCCGCCCCTCCTTCCCTCCCTCCTCCTCTCCGGCCCGGCGCCCTCTTTCGGCCTCCAATCCCTTACTCCACCCACTTCCCTGGCCCGACCCCCATCCTCTCCCTGCGTAAGCCCGCTTTCAATAATTTCCTCCTTTTTGGCAACAACAACAACAAAATAATAATAATAATGCACCTGACTTTACCAGGGGGAAACAACCAGCCGAGCAAAACAAGGAACAAATGTAAAAGGAATAAAAGGAGAAGAGATGAGACCCATTAAAAGAAATCCAGGGGCTGAAAAGGTGGCTGCTGTGGCAAGGGCGTTTGAGCTTCTCTGTGTGAGCAGCAGGCGGAGGACGTTTTCACCACTTGCAGATGTAACCTCGGGAAGTCCTGCGTCTGTAGGTTTGTTTGCCAAACAAAGTCTTTTCTTCTTTGGCTCAGACGCTGAAGAGGCTCCTGGATTTTTTGCCACCCCGCTACAAGCTGGCAGTTACTCGGGAACTGGCGGAGAAATGAACCCTTCTGGGCGGAGGATGGACGAAGGGCGTCAGCAGCAGGGGGCTGCCTCCGGGAAGCGCCTCCTGCTCCCCGGGAAGAGAGGGTCACCCGGCAGGAGGTCGTGCGGCGTTGGCGCTGGGGCGCAGAGCACCCTGCTGAGGCTCTTCCTGTACGCTGGGCTGTGGATGGCCTCGGGCTCATCTGCCCAGGTGTTCAACCTTAGTCTTTTCGTGGACGAGGGGCTTCCTCCAGACACGCTGGTAGGCGACATCCGCGCAGGCCTGCCAGTCTCAGAGCAACAGGAGGGGGGCGGTTTCTTTCTGTCTGAGGACTCAGAGGACTCCCCGTTGCTGGACGACTTTCACGTGCACCCGGACACCGGCATCATCCGAACAGCGCGGTGCCTGGACCGCGAGCTGCGGGACCACTACAGTTTCGTGGCCGCCACGCTGCTGGGCACGGTGGTGCAGGTGGAGATCCGTGTCAACGACGTGAACGATCACTCGCCCCGTTTCCCCCGCGACTCCCTGCAGCTCGACGTATCCGAGCTTAGCCCACCAGGTACCGCCTTACGCCTGCCAGGTGCCCGTGACCCCGACGCAGGGCTGTTCAGCATACAGGGCTATACACTGTTGCAACGGACAGACCTTCCCGGAGACTCCACAGGACCGTACTTTCAGCTGCGCTACGGGACCCCAGGGCTACCGCCGCCTACCCTGCTGGAGCCCCTGGACCTGGTGCTGTTGAGGCGCTTGGACAGAGAGAAGGTGGCGGCGCACGAGCTGCAGATCGAGGCTTGGGACGGCGGCCACCCGCGGCGCACCGGCAGTCTGCGGGTGGAGCTACGCGTACTGGATGAGAATGACAACCCGCCAGTTTTCGAACAAGGAGAGTACCAAGCCACCGTGCGCGAGGACGCCCCTCCGGGCGCCGAGGTTTGCCACGTGCGAGCCACCGATCGCGACTTGGGACCCAACGGCCACGTGCGCTACCGCCTTCGCTCCCGCCAGGCATCCGGGGCCGACGGCGAGCCCCTGGGCGACACGGCCTATTTCACAGTGGAAGAGCTGAGCGGCGTGGTGCGAGTGCGGAGGCCGCTAGATCGCGAGACACAGGCCTGGCACCAGCTGGTGGTGGAGGCCAGAGATGGAGGCGCGGAGCCTGAGGTCGCCACCGTGCGGGTGTCTATCTCTGTGCTGGACGTGAATGACAACCGCCCTGCCATTCACCTGCTCTTCCTCACCGAAGGCGGTGTCGCCCGCGTCTCCGAAGGTGCCAGGCCCGGCGACTATGTGGCTCGCATCTCGGTGTCCGACGCGGACGGCGACCCGGAGAAGGAAGAGGAGGACGCTAAGGAGCTTGTTGTCGGACTGAGAGGAGGTGACATCTCTCTGTCCTTGGAGGGCAGTGAGGGACCCTTTGAGTTGCGACCTGGAGGCTCCCCTGGGGTATTTTTTCTTTGCGTCCAGGGGCCCCTGGACAGGGAGAACCGCGACCTATATGAGTTGAGATTAATGGCCACAGACTCAGGGTCCCCTCCACTAACCACTGAAGAGATCCTGCTGCTCCGGGTTGCGGACATCAACGACCAGCCGCCACTGTTTAGCCAGGAGCACTACCAGGCCTCAGTTTCTGAGGCCGCGGTCCCTGGCACTGCAATCTTGTGGGTCAGAGCCTCCGATGGAGACGAACCTGGCACCGACAGCGCCCGGCTGCGCTATGCGTTGGTGGAACCTCTGGCTCACTGCATTCCAGAGACTTTGTCGCCCACCCTAGGGTGCGGATCATACTTCACCATTGATCCTGAGACCGGTGTGATCAGCACCCTAAGGACTCTAGACAGGGAGGTTCAGGAGATGGTGGAGTTGACAGTGGTGGCTCAGGACCTCGGAGAGCCCCCTCTCTCTGCCACATGCCTAGTGAGCATCACTGTGGATGATGTGAATGACAACGAGCCTGTCTTCCGGAGGCAGGTATACAATGCCACCCTTGAGGAACATACCCCAGTCGGACACTGCTTTCTGCAGGTAAGCGTATCAAGCCTGTGGATCAGCTGGAGGCCATAGAAACGTGGAAGAAGTTGCATGTGCAAGGAAGGAGAATTGTGATCTGTATGGTTATGCCCTGGGCATGGCTCTAGGCCCCCCTCTATAGTGAAATGAATATGTGCTCTTGAACATCCTAATAGTTCTGTCAGGTGGTTGGACTGCATGATCACTAATGTACTTTCTAGTTCATAATAAGTAGAATTCTGACTTTGCACTTGCTGGTTTCCTTCATGTTGTATCTGTGCACCCAAATCAATTAGGGAGAACTACCCATTTGAAGGAGTTCTGGTAGCATAGTGGTTACGAATTGGGCTGTAAACCTTAAGGTCAGTAGTTCGAAACTACCAGCCGCTCTGTGGGAGAAAGATGAGGCTTTCTACTCCCATAAAGATTTACACCCTTGGAAACCCTGTACAGGGTCGCTATGGGTCGAAACCGACTCGACGACACTTAACAACAACAACCCATTTGAAGTCAATTTATGGGCAAATGACAATGTCATACTTGTGAGCTTTGTAGCATCCAAGGGAATAAGGTGATCCTTACAAATGAGTTTTTCAAACGACCAAGTATATGCCTTTGAACAGTTTATCTGATTTGGTTAACCGTTTACAGAGAGATTCCTTTCAACTTTTACTATTTTCTTTAGACATTCCCAATGGTTAATTGAGGACTTCAATTTATCATTAGTAGCATCATTTGTGGACTGAACTCACAACTGAAGGAAGATGCCTTCAGAACTCTGAGAAACAGTGGAGCTGAGTTTTTCCTTAAAATAAAATGGGCATCTTGCTTTTTGTTTGGTTATATTGTCTTTTAAAGAATTCTTCTCTATCAGACTGTTGGGTTTTGCTCTTCTCATGTATGTACCTCCATCTCTCTCTGTCTCAATTTTTGATTTCTTGTATGACGTGAAATAACAAGCCAGATTTCCAAGTTTTTTAGGACTGGAATAAATAAACAGAACCTGAGGGACTAACTGATGATTGAAGCTCAAGAGCTTTATTAAGCTGTGGACTGGGGTCTTTGAAAAGTTCTGCTGCTTACTCCCTAGGTCTGACTTAGCTGGTTGAGGCTTTAGCTGTGGAAATTATGTCTAAATAATAATCTTTAGATAAGCACTTATTTAGATGATACTACTATGTTGTAAATATGGTTTCATGACTATTGTTGTTGTTAGAGGTCATTCATTCAGTGTGTTCTGACTCACAGGGACTCTGAACACTAGAATGAAACACTGCCCTGTCCTGCACCATCTTCACAATTGTTGTTATGCTTATGTATGTTTATACACATATGTACTATTATTGTATATGCATGCATATAGGAGTCCTGGTGTGGCGCTGTCGGTTAATGTGCCAGACAGCAAAGCCGTTTGAACTGCAAGGTCGGTGGTTCAAGTCTACCAGCTGCTCTTTAGAAACCCTATACAGGGTCGCTATGGGTCGGAACTAATTCGACAGCACTCAGCAACAATAACAACATGTATATAAGGAGCTCTGGTACCATGTGTTGTTGTTGTTATGTGCCGTGGAGTTTGTTCTGACTCATAGCGACCCTGTCCAGGGTTTCTGAGGCTGTAAATCTTTACTGGAGCAGAAAGCCTCACCTTCCTCCCGCGAACAACTGGTAGTTTCGAACTGCTGACCTTGCGACTCGCAGCCCAATTCATAACACTACGCCACCAGAGGTACCATAGTGGTTAAGAATTGGGCTGCTAAGCTGCTAACCTCAAGGTCAGCTGTTTGAAACTACCAGTCATTCTGTGGGCGAAAGATAAGGCTTTCTGGTCCCATAAAGATTTATAGCCTCGAAAACCCTTTGCAGGGTTACTATGAGTGAGGACCGACTCCACAGCACACCACCACCCCCACTACCACCA